ACGAGTTAGAAGGTTACATATCTCTCCGGTGATTAATGATTATGTCTAAGAGAATTTATTTTTCTCTTTAGATGTTAAAAGACTCTCTAAGGGTCTGTATTATTGAGAGATGTCACAAATGTGATATTCTGATATCTTGGTGTATATCACTAGGACTAAGTGAAAGTAGAACACTTAGAATCCAGTGGAAGATAGGGTGTATGAAGATGTGTTGGTCAAGTTCTTAAAAGATAATATCTGATTGGATGTCAGGACATTACTCAGGACATGTTTCATGCGAAACCAACAAGAGAGGTTGATCAATCACGTGTCAGGAAGCGTGTTTGACCATGCATGTGCAAGTATTGGGACTGGTTCTTTTCAGCAGAAACAATCCAAAGTAATTAAAGGTGTTCAAATATGTTTTGGATGATGCACATTGATTTAGATAGTAGTTTTTTCCCCTCAATTAACGTTTTCTTTGACCAAAGGATTATGTTTTCAAAGATAGTTAATTCCTAAGAAACTTCTCAGGTATTTATAGAAGTTTCTCCTATCCTCTATCACCATGTGAGTGTTTGATATCTTTCATCATCATTATGGTTTTTGTTCAGGTTTGGGTAAGCTATGCTTGGGTCTGGTTCTATGAAAGCCTCCTTTGTCAATTTTTGGTGAAAAAGGGGGAGAAAGGGTTTACTCAGATGTTCAGTATGGAATCTGCATTCCCAGATGTTGCATTTAAACGTCGGACATGATTTCCTATCTTATGGACGTGGCTTGTTTTGGTTTTGTGACCAGTGCTTTGAGTTACCATGGGTGATGGTTGATTTGTCTAGGTCGACTAGAGGCTGCTGATCAGAAAATGGTTAAGAAATCTCTTATGCCACCATTGGTCTCCTATGACAAGAAGTGATTCCTGGTTCGAGGGGGAGTGTCTCATATCTTCTTCCTCACGTGCACCAAATGACTTCAGGATTTTCTCTACTTCTTTTCTTGAAGGTTCTGCACTTTGATGATGATTTTGGTACTGCAATGGAGTTCATTCAAAATGATGGAAAAAGAAGTCGAACAAAGATGTCTTAACATCTTATCTAAAGACTGACTCCATGTTGTTATGCTGCTGAATTCAACAGTTGTTGCAGACTACTGTTGAAGAACTGTGGAAAACCTTTATTCACTTGCAACTGTAAATTCCGTGAATACAACTTAATTGAATTGATTTACAAAAATAGGGGTTACTCCCTCTATTTATAGATTTAGGTTAGCTTGCTCCCTAAGCCAAAGTCCAAAACTATAAAAGTCCAAAATACTTATTTTGAGACTAAATCAAATCTATCTATTTTAGACCTAAATCAAATCTTATCTATTTTAGATATAAAATAAATTTGTGTGTAACAAACAATTTCCACACTTCTAAATTAAATTAAATCTTTTCAACACTCTCTTATCTCAATCGAACAAACTGTTTCGACACAAGAAATTACTTTAAACAATAATCAATAGAACAAAATTTCAAAAGAAAATCAACATAGCACCCTTTGAAATTTAATTCTTAAATACTTGTTGAACGTGAAAGTCTTAAATTAGATCAACTTATAACAAAAAAAAAATCGAGTTCAAATTTAGAAAACTTTCTTATAATCCTCATTTAAGGCCAATTTCTTTGAATTATCATCCAAGTGATATAGATTAAATTATAAGATATTATTTATTATTTATAAAACAATCTTTGTCAATTAAAAGAGATTAATTTTTCAAAAAAAAAAAGTTTGAAGATACATTTCGTAAGTGTAATGATGATTGATATTTAAAATGTAGTAGTTTGTATGAATAAGGTCAAAAAGAGGATGATGCATATTGATTTTTTTGTTATCTTATGAAATCACATGTTTGAACATAAAGATTATGATGATGCCTTTGTAACTAAAGGCTTTATAAATTGGAAAAAAGTGAAAGGTCTTAAGTTCATTTTGGGGATATAATTTTTTTTTATAATTAAGTATGGAGAAATTAACAACTCTAATGAAACAAAAAAAAAAAACATTGAAGGTGATTTGTGTAAATAAAGCAATCAAGTTAAAAGAGGAATATCAAATTCATTTAAATGTGTAATTAATTGAACTTGATATTTATCAGCCCAGCGTTTATCTTTTTATGGTAATGATGAGTCTATGTTATCAAGAAATAAGGGGAAATTTCTTAAATTTATGAGTTTATTTTTTAATCACAATGAAGATATTTATAAACTTTGAAAGATTTATTTGTGGAAATTTTAAGTTAGCATCTCCTAACATTCAAAAGGACATTGTTAAAGTTACTACAAATTCCATCATACAAGTTATTCGTATAATCTTGAAGATAATTTATTTATTATTTTAATTGATAAATCAAGTAATATCTCAAATGTTGTGAGTTACAATAAGGTTCAATATTAATTTGTGAGATAAATAATAGTAGCAATCAAAATAAATGATTTATAGCGATGATAATCAATACATAGATAATATGACAGTATAAGACGAGAAAAAGATGAAGGTTTATTTATCCAGTTCAATTAAAAGATCTTCTATGAAGAAGAAAGCGGATATCTAATTTACTATACTCAGAAAGTTGTTACAAGAGATTAGAGACGAGTTAGAAGAAAATAGTCTTCGCCTTCAGGTTCGCAAGAACAACCCTGAAGGCGTCCAAAAATAACCATATTTTCTATCCAAGTGTTTCTCAATCTCTTCAACTCGCAATACATGAATAACTCAAACCTAAGGTGTAACCAATATTACACAATAACCTTAAACAACTCCAAGGGTCCCTATACCTTTGTCCTTCTAAGGTTTTACTTCATTGACCTTAAACCCTTGCTCTCCCTTGTTGTTGTAAACTCTAAGATTGTTACACCTCCAAACATATGAGATATACATATTTATAATAGCAAATACCTAACAACCAAAGTCCAAAAATACTATACAATCACACACGGATCCATGGGCCGAACCGAAAGAGCCCAAACCATACAAAATGAAAAAACTGTCGAAAAAGTTTGAAAAACCCGAAATCGCCTGACCGTTATACGGACGTACGGATAGCCTCCGACCGACCGTATGAATTTCACTATTCACCGTCGATCGTACAAATTTCACTATTTATCAACGTACCCGATTTTTCCCGATTTCTATTTTTTCGACTTTTTAACTGACTTTCTGAAACTTCTAATTTTCGCGATATATGTAATCTCTAAAATATGTTTTATTCATTTTTATCAACAAAGGTTTTAAGACACCCATGAACAATCTACATCTTGACTTGAAACTATGTTGATGCCAATTAAACCATCAACAACATTGCTGCTCTCTGCCATGTAGAAAGTGTAAGTTCTCTAGTTTTAGGATTGACATTAATTTTTGGAAAATAAATAAAGCAACAATATTTTAGATAGGATATATTACCTTGCTAACATAAACATGATGTGCAAGAAGTCATATCTTATGTTGGGATATGTTAAGTTGAAGTGTTTCAACATCTAGAATAACATGTCGAATAAGATGTCCTATGAAGAAGCATACGACATCGCGCTTGAGCTGAAGTGATTTTATTAAATCTGGTATGATTTAACAAGTGCAAAATATTCAGGGAATATTATGCAATCCTATGTGGTGCTGAATCAAAGATCAAGAGAATCAAGTCAGAATATCGAAGATTATACAGTTTCTAAATATGAAGATTATTTAGGAAACTAATGATTGAAGACCTTGTTTATAGCAGAAGTTACTACTGGTTTGTAAAAGTTGTTTTGCTGTTATTAGAAAGCCCAAGTCCAGTTGGAAATAGGTTATAAATAGAGGGGTTTGTAACCTAGTTTGACACGGGTTTAAGATGTAGAAGCCTAGGGCTTTGTCAAGGTAAACCACTCGGGTTGTGGGATGGTCACCATGTTCTCACTCAGAAACCTGTAGGTAATGAGTTGAGTATTGTTCTTGGAGGAAGATTTGAAGCAACTCCAAGTTGTTGTTCTTGGTTAGGAGAAAGGTTATAAACGTGAGAGTTTAACCTTGAGTCTTAGCTAGGTATGATCAAGGAAGTGTGTCTTCCAGTTTATTCAGAATTGTATTGATCCAATCGTTGTCTGTGATTGATGAGGGCAACCTGAGTCAATGACCCAACTATCTTCAATTTTCAAACTTGATACAACTAGTGCACTGACATCCTCATAATCTTCCTCATTCAAGGCAACTGCAACTTGAACAAAATCTTCATTGACTTTTCTCTCAGGACAATCCTTCTTAAAGTGATTGGTTTTTTGACAATTAAAATATTATACTTTTGATTTAGACATCCCTTTACGTCCACCTCCTCCTCTTGACACACTTAAACTTTCACCACTATTTTCATTCTTCAAATCTTTTATCCAAAATAATAGTACATTCCTTACCATAAATAAACATCCTATTGAATAGTTTCATGAGGAGAAATTTTCCTAATTAATTTTATAAAAAAAAAAATAGATTATAAAATGTCATATAAATTACTTATCCGTTTAATAAAAAAGTTTGTTATTTGCATTTTTTTTATTTCTTTACGATATCATTTTTTTCACAATTATATTTTTATTTATTAACCTAACTACCTAGGGTATTATATATAATACTATCATTAAATTTAACACATTTAATTTTTATTTTTTTAAGAATTACGCATCAAATATGACATCTTTTTATGAAAAGGATGGAGTAAGAGATATACTGTACCATGTTGATTGTTGTTGAGAGAGAAGAAAGAAGTCATGACTTGGTCAAACTCAACCTTGTAGAATCCAGATTCATTTTGACAACCGTGTCATTTAACTGCTGAAAAAAGTGACCGTGTAAAGAATCTTGAATTTGGTTGGAACACTATACCGTATAATTTTCCAAAAAAATTAAACATGACCCATTCAAATTCAAATGAGCCCCAAACCATAGCAAGAAGAACAAAGGAAAGCAAGGTTTAATTAGCCCTCAAATTGTTAAAATATTACATCTGCATATATGTCACCAACTTCTCCCAAGTCCTCTCTCAAGTCTCAACGCACACATACACGCTTCAATTTTCTCTTACTCGGTTTACGCGGTGTTCACACCGTTTGTATTTATACTACGTCGGCACTAACCAACATTCTCTCATTGCTCATCGTTGTTGTTCCCTTTCTCTTCAACATGGCTACTTCAACTACAACAACTTCAGCACCGCCACGAATCATACCCGAACGAGGTTATGTTCTTAAAAGGATTCTTAAAATGGTGATGTCGTTTCTCTTGTGTTCTGGTTCAGCCGCACCTACCTCTACTGATTCACATAATCTACAAAAGAAGAAGAATGCATTCCTCTAATGCATGTTTCAAGCAGTTTTGCCTTCTTGAAATCACCATCATGGATAATAATTAACACGTCAAAAATGGACAATATAGTACTAGTTAATAGTTGTGTGCATTTTATGTTTTTCTTTTTTGTAACGCATGCTCCATATGTTGTTCACCAATGTTTTTCTATGTGTTTTGTTGTGTTGTAATAACAGAATTGAAGCTAATACTAGTCGGGGAAACTAGTTGTCAGAAGAAATGTGATTTTGACTGGACAGTTCGTATTTTGCTTTTTGTTTTTAAACAGAGATATATGATTGAAATTTGGTAGATATTGATGTTAATACATTGTTGAATGTTGAGAATAGCCAAACAAGGGCTTCATGTACAGTGAGTGCTGATGATTGGTGATGTCAGCTAATCCTAGTGCGAGGTAGCTGACGATGATTAGTGGTGTCACCAGGGGCCACGTTCAAGTGAGGAGCTAAAGTAGCCCCGTTTCCAATTAATTTAAACATTAAACATTGCGACGAATATTTAAATATATCCATTGGATTGATTCAATTTTAAAAGGTAGTGAGTTACAGAAAAGCTAACCAACCGTCTAGAGAATATAACTATACTCACACAAACGTCTAATTAGAAGCTCAAAAAACAACAAACCATGGAGTAAATGTTAGAAAAAGAAACACAAAAAAGAAGGAAATCAATCTCGATGGAACTGCCACACACCTAAGCTTCAACTGACAGAGAACAAGGTTAAACCTCATATCGAGAACACCACCATCAACATAATAGAGGAGTGAAGATCCTCTCAATTTCCTGACAGAAATGGAGAACATAATTACTAATGTTGTTATGGTATATATGACTAATTATGCAAATTATATGTCACACATTTCAATAATATATACATTTATCCATCAATACTTTAATAATTATACTTTTCATTTTATTTGAGAAATGAAGAGTATCTCAACCCATAATAGAGATTCTAAAAGAGAAATCAAAACCACCTCACAATTTTTGAAACAAATTTAAACTTTTGGTCTGTTATTGATTGAGACATATTATAAGATTTTAAAGTCAATAAATAAAATAAAATGAGTTCACTACGCTCTGCCAAGAAACCAATTCCAAACAAAAAAAAATCTTTTTTTCTTCACCTCTTTCATATTTGTGAACAAACAACAAAAAGTTTATTGCTACATCCTAATTAGAGAAACCACACTACAACATAACAAATAAAAGAAAAATACTCCCTCATATTAGCCATATATTCTAAATAGATGAAAAATTCAAAAAGAATTCTAGGATTCCTCGAGAAACCACATGCTTTTCCAACTACTTTAAAAAATTTATATCAAAAAATATATGTTAAATCATAAGTAATAAATACAGGAGAGACTAATTTTAACAAATCCTCACACAAGATATAAGAGATTCCATAAGGATCGATAATGACCTTGTGCTTAAAGAGATTCTCTCTAAAAGGAAGATTATCTTACAAAAGCTGATAACATAAAATCACCACCTTAAAAGGGGCTAAATTGTCCCCGATTAGGAGGAAAGTCATGTTCTCCCTCAACATTTGCACATCGAAAGAAGTACAAAGCTTCAATTAGATTTGATAAGCAAATGCCATTGTGTAAGAAACATCTATATTATGCCTCCAAATTCACCTATCACTTTTTATGCTTAACTACACCCCTTGAAAGTCCGAGAAGAACTCAGAGGCCAAAGGTTCTTCATGAATAAAAAAATGGTCTCCTCCGTCTCAGGTCCAAAGAAAGCCTTCAATATTTCCACCTAGCCATCTCTCCCACAAAACCATCTTGAAATTGATGGATAGTGAAAATTCTCTGAAACTTAATCTTGAGAGGGACATTTCTAGTTCACGGATCCGCCCAAAAAAAGGTCTAAATCTCGGACCCCAGCTTCTTACTCAACCCATTCTCAAACTATCTCCTTTATACCCAAGAAGAGTCATTTCTTTCCACCAAAAGTAAGTCGAATGTACACCCGTAGATCTACCACTACTCAAAGAGGAAGTGGTTGATTCTTCATATCTAGCTATAAGAATATCACACCTAAGACAAGAGGTACCAGAGACCAATCTACATCTCCATTTGGCCAACAAAGTCAAATTAACAAATAAGAGGTCTCTAACACTCAAACTTCATATTCATACCATTTCACCCAAGAGACCTTGGACTCACCCTTAACACCTCTCAACGAAAATCTCCTCTGAATCCTGACTAATTTCTTCCACACCTTCACTAGAATTCTCATAAAAGACATGAAAAAATAGAAATAACATTTAGAATAGAATTAAGGAGGATCACTCTAAATTTTAAGGCATAATTATTTTATTTTTTATAAAAAGTGAGTGCTTTTTAAAAGATTATTATCATATATATTAATAACCAGAAACATAATCAATCATATCATTCATCCGCCGACAACAAGAAACATATAGAATTTAATCTATAACCTATTATTTTCATCTAAATCATGGTCAAGACAAGAGCTGATATCTTTGTCGTTTTCTTTTCTAGCACATTCTAATGAGGGATAGAAAAACACAAGAAAGGTGAGTTTGAATTGGGATTTTCAAAAATTAAAAGCTATATGACACGTTTGGTTATCCTGGTTCGTTTGAACTCAAACTACTCCAGTCCATCCACCAAGGTGATTTTGCCTCTCTCAATCGAGGTCTTAATCCACTAATCAAAACTTTATTACAATTCACAAAGACAACTGTCGACGTCTTCTTGAGATCAAACCACAACTTGGTTTCTCAAGAAATTATAATTCACAAAGACTACCGTCAATGTCTTCTCGAGAATAAACCACAACTTAGTTTCTCAAGGAATTACAACTTTTCTAACAGAAATAATGTGTTTAACAAATGATTCTAAAAAGCTATATCACAACTGTGATATTTACACAAAGATTAAAGCACAGTGATATTTCAAGAGAAAATAATAGAGAATATTTTTGATCGCTCTTGTTGGTACGTATGAGTGATGATGATTCTTCTTCATAGTCTTCTTTATATAGAGGAAGTGACTTGAATCATTGGAGACATAAGAAATTATCTTTGAAAGATTGATAAAATGTTGTTAATGCACTTTCCAAAAATACAGATCTTGTCTTGTTTCAGTCGTTACTCTTTGATTTGTAATGAATGAATTGTAATGCATCAGAACTTTTACTTCTTTGAAATACGTTAAAACTTTATATCCTCGGAGTTTCTTGAGATTCATATGATCAGATATTGGATGAGACGGACACGTTGAAGCTTCTTTGTACTTTAAGAATATTCACTTATCAGAGAATAACTTGAGCTTAAGTGCTGAGTCTTAGAACTTCAATATAGATGAGTGCGTTGAGACTCCCTTTGTTCTTTCAGAACTTCACTTATCAGAGTATCAGAATTTAGCTTACAGCTTTTGTGCTTCATACTTTTAGAATATTCACTTATCAGAGTATAGTTTGAGCTTAAGTGTTGAGTCTTAAAACTTCAATATAGATGGGTGCGTTGAGACTTCCTTTGTTCTTTCAGAACTTCACTTATCAGAGTATCAGAATTTAGCTTGCAGCTTTGGTGCTTCAGAAGTTATATTATCAGAACTTCTTCTATTGTGCGTGTTAACACGAATTTGCTTCTAAGTTTGTATGCTCCGCTTAATCAGAACTTCAGAATGCAAATACGCTCATCATCTTCTATGTCCTTTCATCATATCTTCTTTAGTGCAAATTGTTTTCCAACTTCTATGCTTCTTTAACAAAACTTCTTTATATATCATATATTTGTTATCAACAAAATTATTACTAAGATGTAGAACCAAACTATGTTCTAATATCTAATTCCCACAAAAAATTACACATAGAAAAATAATTGAAAACTTCATAATTATTTGGAATCAATAATAAAGAGATACTATAGATTTTTTTGTTTGTTTATAAACTTAGAAAATTGAGTGATGTTTGTGAAATGTTTTGTTTTTGCGTGAAATGCATATCTAGATAGAGAGGTTCGGTTCATGTGAGTTATATATAGAAGGAATGTGAGTTTTATTACAAAAGAAACTTGAAATTCATTTACTTGATAAATGAATGGGTGTTTGTAATTCTTAACAATAAGTAATATATTAATTTGCAAATAAATTATTATACACATCAAGGTAACTAAGGGTTCCTAAGTAGCTACCAACCGAGGACTGACCCCCACAAACACCCTTAGGTATCTAAATACGAGACATTTAATCCTACAATAAATGAAGTACCGAACTAACTAAAGAAAGATAAGGTCCACATTAATCATAATCAAATTATTCTTAAAGAAATTAACCCGGAGAATTGAAGCAAGCTCAAAACCCCTCATAATTGCTTTTATGGTCCACGGTGAACAATTAAAGGGTCAAGATTAAAGTTGTTAAATGAGAAACCTCAAAACTTGAGGAACCTTAAGCCCCTCCTAATCAACCCATTAAGCCCCTTAATCACTAATATTACATATTTCTTACACAGACGCAGATTGGGCCGGTTGTCCTGACACAAGAAGATCTACCTCCGGCTACTGTGTTTATCTCGGTGACAACTTGATCTCATGGTCCGCAAAACGCCAACATACCTTGTCTCGTTCAAGTGCCGAAGCCGAATATAGAGGCGTAGCTAATGTTGTGTCTGAATCATGTTGGTTACGCAACTTACTCTTGGAACTATGTTGTCCTGTCACAAAAGCTACTATGGTATATTGTGACAACATCAGCGCGGTTTATCTTTCCGACAATCCTGTTCAACATCAACGCACCAAACATATTGAAATGGATATACATTTCGTGCGTGAGAAAGTTGCTTGCGGTCAAGTACGCGTTCTTCACATTCCCTCGCGTTTTCAGATTGCTGACATCTTCACAAAGGGACTTCCGTTGCAACTCTTTGATGACTTTCGTGATAGTCTCAACATTCGTTCACCTCCAGTTTCGACTACGGGGGTGTATTAGATATGTAAATATAGAAAG